GGAAGACACTCTGGATCTCTGGATTCTCTGGACTGCCTTCCGAATGCTGGTCCGGCGATCCTGCGATAGATAGACCGTACAGCTGCTTGTATCAATGATTGCTCCTAGGTGGAGGAGTCTTGTTGAGGGTATCGTGTGGCTCTTGCGAAAGTTGACAGAGAACCCATGGTCCTGTAGGGTACTAATTGTTAGGGTGAGGATGACTGAATTAATATGTCGTCCAAGTAACACTGGACTCTGATGGGTACATGTCTCAAGTGTGCAGCCAGTGCTGCCAGTATCTTGGTGAACACTCTAGGGGCTGAGGATAGGCCGAATGGTAAGGCCCTGTATTGGTAGTGAACCTGGTTGTAGCAAAACCTAAGGAACTTACGGTGGCCCGCTAAGATGGGAACATGTAAGTATGCCTCGGTCAGGTCTATGGAGGTAAGGAAGTCCCCTTGTCTGATGCCAGCCAGGATTGACTGTAGGGATTGCATCTTGAACTTCCTGTATTTTAAGAAGAAATTTAGGTCCTTAAGGTCCAGTATTGCCCTCCATCCCCCTGATGTCTTGGGAACGACAAACAGGTTGGAGTAGAACCCCTGACCCCACTGATTCTGAGGTACCAGCTCTATAGCGTGTATCTGAAGGAGGTGCCCTATGGCCTCTGACATGAGGGCTGCTTTATCTACATTTGTGGGAGTGGGGCATGTTCGGAAACGATTAAATGGGCTGTATTGAAATTCCAGCATTAGCCCATGGGTCACGGTGTCTAATACCCATGAGTCCGTGGTGGTGGCTGCCCATACATTGGAATAGCGAGTCAGCCTACCCCCTATAGGGTCAGCTGGTGTGGTATCACTTGCCTCGCCTGGTGAATCGCCCCCCAGATCCTCTTGAGGGATGCTTCGCCTGTGCTTGGTGGCGGTTACCGTATGAAGTACGGTTCTGCTGGCGGTCTTGTCTTTGGTAGGGGGTGCTGGATGTCTGACCCCAGTGTTCTGTCCCCCGTCCGACCCACACACCCCAACCAGTCAGCCGAGGCCTGACAAACTACTCGGCACAGACAAAGGCAACGGAATGTCTTGGCAGCCACTTCGTAGC